CATGACGACTCAAATAGGTGACAACGCGGTTGGTATCCAAGATTTCCGACTCTATGCCATACTGATTCGCTCGTCAACTCTAGACTGGGGGAGGTTTTGCAGAATAGTCCAAGATATGTGTTTGAGATACGAAGAAGTGTAGTATAGTAGATGTGGTTAATATGTTCAATGAATAATTAAAAGAGAAGTAGTTGCCAATATATCCAATTTTAAGTCCATCCAGAAACCATGATATGTGAGTGACTATATGGTACCTGGTAAAGCATTCTACAATTTTATATTACACTCATATTTGATGAATTTCCTCGTTCAAAATGATGTGTATATTGAGAGATGAAATACACCTTGTGGAGCAGATATGTTGAAACTCCTTGCTTAGTAAAATATCCATCCTATATCGTTGGAAGTTTGTCGTCAATGCAAGGTGTGTGCGTCTCTGAAGCCCAAAATCATGGACTTGGTGATGTTTCATTATTCCAAAATGACACAAAGGATCGAGTCGGGATCGCATAACCTATAAACTATTGGGAATGATTTGTTTTGCAAAACCTCTAACCTGCAAAGGAGGGTAGATGATGTGCACAGTATCTTTGTGAGAATTTTTATGTTTACAGTATCCCGGCTGTTCTAGCGATCTTGCAAGCAATGTGCTTGACATTCATCACCCATTTTTAACTGATTGTCAGGGTTTATATGTAATTTGTATCAGTCGGCCTTTTCAAGTAAGATATATATATATACTTATAGAAAGTTTATTGCTGGTAGTCCTAGTTGCAATTTGTTTTTGCATTTCAGAGTTCAGGTGCATTTAGAAATAACTTGGTGAGGCCGAATAATCCGGTATCATCAACTAAGTTATGATCAATATGGTTAACATTGTCGAACGCCTTTTTACGATTGAGAAATATTGCACTAATATGTTTTTTCCCAATTTGTCATAAAAGGGAGTCATCATATCAAGTATATGATCAGAGTAGTGCTTCTTATGGGGGCCAAATCTATGAATTGAGTTGGATTGGTATGTAGCACCTTTTCAGGACCCTATGGCCGTGGTTAAACGGTTTGAAATGGGGCGATAATTGCTTGTACATTCTTTGTCTCCGGTTTTGAACACATTTGAATCTTTAACAATTTTTAAACAATAGACGAAGCAATATAAACATGAATAGGCATGACTGTTTCCAGAATCTGGCTGGTTTATCGTCAGGTGAACTCATTATAGTACCAATTGATTGTTGCTGGTCAAAAAACAACGTGATTTTACAGTTTTCTTAAAATTAGTCGACAAATATTTATCAGCTACGTTCGTGCCTCCGTAAATCCTCGTCAATCAATCAGGTATTTTTAATCGTACTCGTACGGAGTTTCTTTTTGCTTGTTGGACACGTAGTTGTTATGTTGTTCTTTGACACTTTTTGGACACCTAGTGGAAATATTAAAAAACCGCTTTTCTCTTCGATCACTGGACCAATTGCTTTGGTGGTTAAAGATGAAATTCTTCTCCAGAAGGCTATTACTTTTATTTATTTCAAATATTTCTGTTAGCCATGTGAGATTTGTTTTCGTTTGCTATCACGTCACCGAACGTTCTGCGGACGCATATGCAGGCACTCCTCTTTTTGATCACGTGTCATCGAACGTTGGCGTGACGGCGGATTCTGAAAGTCGTTGCTACTAAAGCGCAAGTTTTTCGAGGTGAATGGCGGTGATGCTAAAGGTACGGTAGACCGTATTGTACTGCTTCGCTTGGTGTGAATATACTTGTAGACTGTGGTCTAGAGAGGTACGGTAAACCGTACTTCACTGCTTCGTTTGGTGTGAATATATTTGTAGACTGTGGTCTAAAGGTACGGTGAACCGTACCGGTACCGGTACAGTCGGTACTGCTTTGCTTGGTGTGAATGTATTTGCCGACTGTGGTCGAAATGCTTCGCTTGGTGTGAATATATTTGTAGACTGTGGTATCTGCTGTTATAATACCGTGATAAATCGAATAAGTTGGTTTTGCAAAGAAGAAGCGTCTGGCATTACAGGTCGGAGGGGGAAAAGGGGTGCGCATTTCCAATACGTCGAAAATATCTTTGTCAACCACCGTGGTCCACCATATCTTTGTCAACCACCGAATTTGCGACCACCGTGTTTTTGTCTGTTTGATTGCTGTGATGTGGTGCTTCGTTTATAATTTGACGAGTTTTGTTCGAAATAACCGTGTTCTTAAAATATATGACGGTCAGAAATGCAATTAGAAGCCCAGATAGAGAAGTTCTGGCACCGTAACACAGCGCGGTGACACTGACCTAACTCGTAGCTGTCAAAAGCTTGAAAATCCATACAAATATGAGAGATAAAAAAATGAAACTTGGCAGGTGGGTAGTGTTGTGTTTCTTTTCACCATCTTTGAAGGTTTCGCGTTTTTACATTTTAAGGAGGGGAAATAGGGGGGTGCGCATTTCCAATACGTCGATAATATCTTTGTCAACCAATTCGCGACCACCGTGTTTTTGTCTGTTTGATTACTGTGATGTGGTGCTTTGTTTATACAGGTACTGGTAAGTAGAGATTTGTTCAAAAATAATTGTTTTGTGAGAAAAATGTCAATACATGACCTCGAAATCCATATTATGGCGTCATAACAGATTAGTTGTGGCGTTTTTGCATCAGAGGACTATTATAATTAACATAGGCTAAGTTAGGGTGTCTCATCGTTCATATTAGTAGATTACCGCCAATATAAGCATATTCTTCATTATCACAACCCACTCGTTTTGCCGAAGGGCTGCACTTGATCGAATTGCTTTTGTAGTAGGCTCGTGAGCTAATTTTCCTGATTTTTCTTACTCAAAACGTCTTTCTGATATCTCGGCTAAACATTCCGGGTAAAATCTTATGACTTTGGTGGAGATATAAAGTGGCGATAAATGTACGCAATAGCGGTAAAAGTCAAAATAAAAAATGTTACTTACATTTTCGAAATTATAATTCTGGCTGCGTGTGCAGCTGCCAGAATGCAACGTTTTGGCGTAGTTTCGCGGCGATGCGAGGGATATTTCAATAAAAAATACAGAAAAAATTCGATTTAAAACAAGCCCTTGTTTTAAAACACCATGTTTTTTTTAGAATTGATAAAAAACAAAACCCTACGTGGTAAGTCACCGCATTTGATTTTTAGGGAATTGTTCTGCGTGTCCATATATTTGAGCATTGCTCTCTTGTTTTTTTACTAATCGGGGTCGATGATTCCGTCGTGCATAGGCCAAAATGCCAGCTGAATAGAGGCAATAATAGAAAACGTAAAACACGCTAGTCTCATCTATGAGCGTAAACAAACAGCCGAGGCATATTCGCGACATGATTAGTCAGAGCATCCATCAATGGGCCGCGCCACTTTCCTAGATAAATACTTATGTACTGTATATATTCGTACATAACTTTTGAACGTTAGCTATCAAAGTCTAAGTAAACCATCACCAAAGTAGAAGATATTCAAACGTATGTTTTCCTATTAGTAATCGAGCGTTAAGCGCCCTGTTTTCATGAAAGCGGAACATGAAATTAGGATTCACTATCCAAGAACTTTACAAAAATTGCATACGAAGTCGAATCGAGAGAATCAACAATAAAGCGTTGGATAAAGATGGGAATCAAATTCCTGAAAATTAAATACACTAATAGACTGTGCAGCAGAACTCTTCAATAACATAGTATCGTCGTGTTTATTCCCGCTACTGCATCCTTGCATTATACGCATACGGATCCACTAGCATAAAGGCACAGAGGAAGGACGGGGAGTTATTTAATCTCGCACAACCAAACTCATCACTACAAGAGTAAGTCGTCATAATGTTTGCTATAACTGTTCACGCCCATGCATTTTTTCGCAAAGAGTAACAGATTCAACAAACTAATCCACTCTCACGGCTAACCTAAATAAATCGATTATCATTCGTGTTATTTAGAAATTGTATATATATATATATAAGAGAGAGAGAGAGCGTGCGGTGTGAAACTCTAGATTTTTAGAGCAAAATCTTGAATGTTTATTAGTATCCCAACCACTCGGAATTTTAATGTCTGCAAATCATACCTTGATGCGAACCGGCAATGTTGTTCTACTGCCACATCAATGTTATTAAGGTTCCCTTATCTTTGCAGCATTAAACTTCAGGACATTTGCATTGATCCCACATATTTTACCCATGAACATTTGCACACACGTTAATTTGCAACTACGGGTACCCACAGGAATATATAAACATTTGTCTTTATGTGCAAAATGTCATTCAACTTTCACTTTGTCCTATTTAAGTTTCTTCTCATCTGGGTCAATTTTGGTGCACTACGATACTTTGCACCAGTATGCAAAGTAAACGAGACTACTTGGTTATGAACATTTTAATGTTATAACTAGTAATAATTACGAAAGAAAACCTACGCGAGATTAATTTGGATTTCCACTCATCAATTCAGTTCAAGCTAGACCCGAAAAGTCCAGTTTTGCACACTCGGTTTGGAACCTTTATATATATATTACCGTCAGATTTAACAGATATATTTAGTTTATCAAAAAGATTATTTTTGACAGTTTGTTTACAAGAAATATTCATGGAAACCGTGTACTTCTTTCTCATTGGCAGCAACATAGTTCAGAATATATTAATGACTTTCTAGATTAGATCACAACCTGCAAGTCATAACAGACCTGACAGCCGTCGGTCTACTAGATATATATGCTAAAAAAGTTGGCAAATATTTTAGCATTCTGGAATCCTTTTAGCTGAAATATCGGTTGAACCGTTTGCTGTATCGGTGACACCGTCGCTTTCCATACAAGAAAGCCCTGTACTTTTTTATTATTTTCACCAATACGGGATTATCGGTCGATATCATCACAGGTTCAGGCGCTTCAGGAGTATACATTAGAAAAAAATTATCGAACTTAACCACGACGTTCTAATAAACCTGACAGCACCCACTCCAAACTCAAAAGCCAACAAGCAAGATTTCATGATACACAGCAAATCGTGCAATATTTGATGTTACGTCGACAAAGAAATGCAATTTATACAATGCAATAGTAAAAACGAAGTGGAAACAAAGAAATTTGTGTGATATCAGTAACGAGTGTCAGAAATTTCACCCTGATTTTTTAGTAACACAAAATAAATCAGTTTATGTTAATAATGAGATTAATTAAACAATTCGGTCCATATTAGATATTTCACAACGATTCCTATTTTAAGCCTGAACGGTGCATAAAATGAATATAAGTCAAATAACTTTACATTTACGTTATTGTACTAATCACTTTTTAATAAATCAACATTTATGACCTCACGCCCGATTGCGACGTCAGATTTAAAAAAAAAAAAAAACTGGAGACGATTTCTGATGTGATATTTCGAACGTTAGATTTCGATGCAATACCTTGTGTGAACGGAATTTATGTTTGTGATTTGATACAGAAATGTGAGTAAAACAAAGAAAAATGCAATATAAAAACAATCATTCATAGCCCCTGCGAACCATGCTTGATCTTTTTTTTAATGTTGAAAACGTATCCGACTGGTACCACTGTGAAATGTGAGTTATTTGTTATTACGCCAACTTCCCTGAAGTGTAGTCCTGTCCGATAGCTTGACAGAGAAGGATGCTGAATATCAGGCCGAGAAGCTGAAAGTATATTAAACACGGGATAAATCAGGGCAATTTAAAATTAAATTAAACCTCTAATTTGTTGGATCAAAGAGTACAAGACTGGAATGTTATCAAATAAGAAACAAGGTGCGCCTATTTTAGGGAGGAACAGGCTAAATTGCGCGATTCGAAAATACTTTACAGAAAGGACCGCAAAAATTGCTGTGACCCATTTTACCTCGCCCGGGGACGCATACAGACATGCACCATTTGACATCTCGACAACAATAAAAATGAAACTGATCAAACCCATGGTAATTTACTTAATGATTAGTACCGGGATTACTATGGCCTCACATTTTATTGCTTTTAGCGCATTTTATTATATGTATATATTATAAATATAGATATATAGCAGCTTTTCACAATCAGGGGCCCTTCAAAGTGGCCACAGAGCAGTTAAAGGGGGCCACAATGCTAGACGCAAAACTGAATTTAATTTATCGTTGACAAGAAAACTTCGTTCTTTCTAGTTTCATTGCTTGAAAGGGTTATTTCACAGGATATTTTCACTTTTTTGAGCATGAATTGTTTTAACATAAAGGGATTTGGAACCTATCAATCAAAATAACACTATAAATTCCACTAGTATGATAAAAACAGGGGGCCATGAGTGCTAAAAGCCTATAGAAAGGAGCAAAGAGCACTAAAAGGCTGGAAAACTGCTATATAGAATTCCCATCCTCCATACTTTGGAACGAGGCCAAATCATTACAACTACCTATAAAATCAATATTAAATCACGGATGCAATTCCAGATTTTTTTGAAAGTTTATGGAGATTGTAAACCAGGCAAGAATAAAGATGAGTTTGTACATACATTTGCCGTGAAATCGGCCCACATTTATTTTAATAATATAATTTTTACTAGTTAATGACATCATGTGAAATTCGCTTATGAGTACAATAGCCCCAAATCGTCTGAATGACCTAGGCTAAAGAAAATGCGGGGGATAAATGGCAAAAATCAATAACCTCCCAACCAACAAGGCCCTTGCAAAATCTGCAAATGAATTATTTATGACTCAATGCACACAGCTCACAAATTTGAAGATAGTTCCGCTTTCGTTCTCAAAATTGCAAAGGTTGGGCTTCGTAGTTATATTCAGAAATGATATGCCTGCCACTTGTCCGTACCGTCATTTCCATTATCACGAGAACGGCAAATATATATGCACACAAAGTCCAAATACCACATAAGAGTGTTCCCATACGTCATAGAAAAGTGTTCCAACAAATTAAATAAAAATTCAAAATTTGTGTTGGATATTGGGGTCCCGTAGGACTCGAGAGTGAATTTGATAAAATAAATGTTATGATCTCCGTATTATTTCCTGAGAAAATATATTTATTACACGAAAATAACAACAAATTTTCAAATAAAGGCACAGTGAAGAGCGTACTAACCTCGATTACCCCAATGCTGATTGCAACAGCTACAACAATGTCAATATTCTTCTCCAAAACTTCCTTTATGCGATCGCGACATCCGATTGTGATCTGGCAACGAAATAAACAATAACTATTTGTATTCATAACAAATACAACGGCAAGACCAATAAATCGCCAAAAATATGCATATTCAGTTTACAGGCAAATTGGACTATTATCAATAATTATATCATACTCCTAAACTTTTTAACTGAGATAGTTACAGCCTGGCACATTTAGTGCATTGCTTATTGGTACATTATTACAATATTCTGACCAGTTGAAAATGACTTCCATGTATCAAGATACATAGATGATTTCAGGCTAGCCGCAACGAGTTTGCGCTGATGAATTGAGTTTAGTCAACAAACACATCTAATCATTAGATACAGACTGTTGAACTCGTTGATTTGCGCGATACACGGTCTACAAAGTTATAGCAAAATCTTCTCTGAAACTTGGTGAGAGTTGAAAAAAAAAAATGTTTGAAATTTGAGTTGAATCTTACGAAGTTTCTCACGTGCATGAATAATAGAACTGTAGCTAGTCAAATGAAAAAAGCAAAATAGCTATCTGCGGAATACGTTATATATAGTAATGAAATGAAAAAGTAAAAATAATACCACTACTACTATTTTACCGATTCCAGAGAAGGGCAGTAGTCCAGAACAGTCAAGGCTTTGGTCGCACAGTTCAAGGTGGTAGAGAGCGACTTGATGATGATGTCACCAAATCCACCGTCGGAGATTTTGTCCAGATCGCAGTAATCGGCGGCATTGTTGTAACCACAGCAGTCCAACTAAAAATGAAGGAAATATTGATTGAAGTTCTAGACACGACTCTCAGTCCTTGGACAAGTTCATGGATTATAATGTAGTTTATCAATGAAAGTAGGTATATAGCGTACGACGAAATATGTGTTGTGCTATATTATCATTGGGACGCCTGTACGTAAACGTCCACGTTTTTATGCTAATATTAATTACTGTTGTTGGGCTTAATGACGAGTGTCGCGGCTCAATAATTTGTATTGATTTTCATTTTCCATGCCTCCCCTCACCCTGGCATGCAATTTTACCTCTTTTTATATTCTGTACGTACGGAGTGAACGCGAAAATATTCAAGAGATTGGTAGTTGATAGTTCCGCACTGCCCAAATCGAAAACAAATATTTATTCGCGTTGATTAAAAACGGGGATCAAGTATGATCATTCAAGCTAGCGAGCAATACTCAAATATATGGAAACGACAAGTATCGAATCTTTTACGGCAGCGGTAGTTTTCTTCAACGAAAAACTTCAGACTTCGCTCACCACCGACCGCGGAACCTCCACACGGTGCGCAATTTTTAATTCTGAATACGCCATCACACAAAACTTCATAGTGAAAAACGAATCTCGTATAGCCAACAGACATTTTGGAAATATATTTAAGGAATAACATTCTAGCGACAAGAGCAATCTTTAATCACTGAAAATTTCAAAGCCATTGGTCCAGTAACTGAAGAGAAAGACGATTTTCCACAACAACAACAAGAAGAGTAAAAAGAAAATACCACGAAAAACAACAATTGTTAATCCTTCCAATAATATTTTGTACTGCAGGCCTGTGTAATGTGAAGACCATGACGTAAGTGTCGCGTGTTATTCGAATTTGCTAAGACATTGGGAGTGTAGCGATTGTTATCATACAGTATGGCGTGAATTGCAGAATGAATACGGAATGCGTCATTACGATATATTTCAAAATATTGTCATTTTATTTTATAAACAATTTGGTTTACTTTCTATGCTACCAAGCTTATTACCAGTGGACAAATATACTTTCAGTGTTGTTTCCACGTGAAACGTGGGAATTGTGTTGCATGTACTTCTGATATAAAACAACGAGTAATACAAACAAATAGAACGAGCTCAATAACAAATTACATAAATTAGTTTTTACCCGGGGTGTGAATATGAATAGCACATTTGGGAAAATTAAATCCTTTTATATACAGTCATGTGGAGTTCTGTGAATTCAAAAACCAATCCAGAATAAAAACTTTTATAACGCGTATTCAATGTCCACAATGGCCAGGGGCTATTTTAATTATTCATCAAAAATGAACGTTGAAAATTGGGGGTAGAATAAACCATAAAAATTCATTTCTATCATGCATAATTTAAGAAGCCCATGATAAGATATTCGAATAGGCGGAACCTTGTAAACGCGAAACTATCATGCTGAGTACAGCGCAATGAAACTCGGTCAAGCGAGAAGCACATTGCTGGTTGCGATTGTTCATCGTCCCGCGTGGGAAGGATATAATTGAAGCTTTTTAGTACGTGAATTACAAAACAACATATTCTCAAGTCGAAAGCCTTTATGGTCTGCTGACTATTCAATTATGCAGTGGTATAATAACAACGCAACTACACCATAAATAACCAAGTGATTTGGTATATTATTCATGGTAGTGTGGTCATAAACAAATATGAACCGTATTATGGAGGCTTGAATAATTTCTGTTATGATTTATGTTGTAGAAAATTTGACCGTATTATGCTTTTTTCAAGTTAAAATAACGAATAGGTCAGTTACCTCTCAGAATGAAAGTTGAGAACTACAGAAGTGCATCTTTCGGATGCGGTCAACCGTTGATAAGGGCCAAGCCGCCCGTGGTCATCCATTATTATTATTATTGATTTGACAATCGACATTCTAAATCTCAATTCAATAATAAAAACAGTTTTTGGGTTGCGGTTTGTTCATTTAACGTGCTATGATGATTAAGACTTTAAAACGACACCGCGGGATATATTTTGAGTGTGTAAAAGTATCTCAAAAGCAACCACAGTCAATGTGAACTTGAACAATTTACGCAATGTTCATCCACCCACGCCGCTGCTCAGCAATACATTTTACGTAGGCGTGCATAGAAACAATACAGGCCACGAACAATGGACACATTAAAATACGTTGTCGAAGCTATCGAGTTCACACGCTGTTAAAATGGCGGGATCATTTTTACAATTTCCTCACGGGAAATGAATTCATGTTGCTGTTCATAATCCACTCACAGCGATTATTTTGTCATTATTTTGATGCAAATATATAGTTTGACTTCCTTAAAATATGAGGGGAGTTGATTTGCTATACCAAGCATTTAAAAACGACCAATGGTTTACCCGTTGCGGAATGCTGAAAAGGTACGGTCGCTGAAATTAGAACTATAAAGAGGGTTTATAAAGAGGGTGAAAAACTAACAAGAAACTCGAAATCGTAAGTCGATACCCTGGTCTGAAGCGTAAACAGTTTCAATATAAAATCGCAGCGTCGTACAACAGACGATCAAATTACTCAGTAATACAATTCAATCAACCTATCATATTCAGAAGATGATGTATTCCAGACAAAACCGATAAATAGAATAGCGGTCGAAAACAAAGTCATCGGCACGGGGATTTTCGAAATGAGCAATGAGATATCGGAATACGCAAACTCTAAAATGTGTCATCCCATTATTACTGATATTGACTATCCAAAGAACTAGGTTTGCTAAATGCAAGAATGCGAGGCTGAACTTTTCGACAATTTGAATACTGTACAATTTTTGAAAAATTCACAGAAATTGTGTTGTTGCAATTGTGTTATCGTTCTGTACGCGGAATACAAAATAAAACCGGATATTTTACTATTTTTGCATCTCATTTTTTATTATTACGTTACATAAAGTGAGCAGCTATGTAGCTTGTGATTCATTCTCCCAATATACAAATGCTTGTTACCACTTCCATGCAGACTACGCATTGGCAATGAATTCGTTTTTGCGTTTTTGATTGCCGAGTCCATTTGACAAAATGTATAGCAGGAAACTCCGTGATTCTATTGTTATAAAGTCGTCTTACAATTTTGCTATTTTAGCACTGGGGCTTTTGAAGCCATTCCTACCGTGACGCTGCCACAACAAATCGTGTATGCCTGTATTCACAACGTATTTTTCTTGAAATTCATCAACAATAAGATTTTACATCTATGAGTTCTATAGAACGAAGAAGGTACAAGAAGTAAAACTCACTCTTGCCAACAACTTCGTTGAACAATCATTTGTTGCCATGTGTATTGATTTTATGTTTACTCAAGAATTATCTCATGTGAACATTATTTGGCGATCTGTATAGTACGGTTTGGTTAAGCTTATACTCACGTCTCTTTCAATCTCATCAACGATGATTCCCGTTGCATTCGTGGCAGCAGATCCTTTCCACAGTTCTAATGCACCTTCGTTGACCGCGTCCGATACCTATAAATTGTATTACAGACTAGAGGATTGTTTCCAATTAATCGTCAACTTTGCAAATAGAGAACGAGAACTCTTGAATTAGACATTAAAACAAAGTATTGAACTTGGAAAATGAATTATTCCTACACACAATTAAAGTTAGCAGTTGTATCGAATCGATAAATTTTGAGGTTAATTCATATATTACTCATACCTGTTGTCTATGGAAGGCGGTGTACACGCCAGCACCGATCTCGGATCCGAGTAACAAGAACAGAGCAACTGCGAACTGTAATATAAGATAGGATGTTATTTCGGTCCTAATGAATGATGAAGTTTAACTTTTGTGGTTAAACGGGCATGGAAACAACTCGTTCATGCTTTATCATTCAGGGTTTCTCAAACAGGCCATGTGGCCCCATTCTAGGCTATGCAGCGGTCCCCACACACTTCTTTGAAAGTTTACAGTATAATGTGAAGATAGCTTGTGAAATTCAATGAAAGAATAAAATTTGAATTTGATCTCGCACTACCTTTGCAGCTAATTTTTTTCGTATTTTTTTTGTATATATTTATAAAGGTGTGAACGAAACCGCATATTCACAAATGCAACAACAATTACATACCAGGGTTAAAAGCATTCTGGACTCCTGAGCGGCACCACAGCATCCACAGAATCCAACAACCATGATAGCACCTCCTGCAGCCATGAGAACATAACATACTCCATTGAACAGCTGGCGTTTTTCTTCGTCTGAAGTCAAGATGTTTTGAGTCGTGGAATCAACGCGAAAGTATATGGCAAGAGCAAGAATTGCAATTCCAGCAAGCTGTAAAAAGTTATTTGATGCTTTATATAAATAATTCAGATCAACGGACTATAATAGGTTAACGGCTCAGTAAAATTTGGTAATAATGGAATGAGCCAAACTAGCTAGCACCACACTTCATGAAACTGTATAATAGGACATTAATTTGGTAGCGTTTAGTTGATTTCCAATCGATTGAAATACTTTTCGTTGTAACATCGTAGCGTAAATCCGAGGTTCGATCATGTGGAAAATAGAGATTAAGTAGGTTTTTACAAGGGAGAGACCAAATCATAGGGTGGAGTAATCGAACTAAGTTGATATAATCATCGTGTGGGATTTCAGCAGACATTACTAATTGATAAGTAAAAAAGGAGAAAGGCAAAATTGACTAGTTTGCGCATCTTTAATAGGGGTTGCATTGTTTATACCCGCAGGCAGAGGCAATTCATTATTTATTAGCATCGATCATGCCAATTATAGCTAGGCTTCAAGTTGAGCTGTAACGGCTTAATAGTGAGTCCTATAAAAAGGAGAGATGAAGTTAGCACTTCAGATTACCATTAGTCAAATATTTATCTATCTTTCGGTTTGGGGAGCGCTAAGAGTAGGCAAAAACTTGCGCTTTGAAATACCGAACCGACAATCTTTCACAAAATTGTCCCAAAAGAACGTGCGACTGCTAACATGAAAGGTAAATAAAGAAGATTGAAATTGACAGTTTAATAAGTTCATCTGTGTCCGAAATAGTTTTCAAGTGATTTTTGTGGAACAAGAAGCCATACAACGCCGGTTATCACAACATAGTTTAGACATGTGATCAAACTGTAAAACATGCAGGTCAAGATTAACTAACATTTCATTAAAGGTGGATTTTGACAAATTTGAATTTTTTATATGTTGGAAGCACTAATTACAAGATTGCATATTCTCTCCAATTACGTTATTTGTTTACTGCGGGGCAATGATTATACAATGCGTATTATTATATTTATGTATATCGAGCACACTGCTCATCTTCTGGCCAATTATGTATGCAGGGTATTATTCGACTACGTCAGAACCACGTGAGCATGAACCTAAACTCGTATAAACTCTTATCAATTTACAGCGAAACGCAACCATGTCGTTTCATAATTTCGTGTCAATCTCTGCAGCAATGAGCCTTATAGAATTGTTGTTAATTTCCACGCGGCATGCTATAGAATTAGGGAGAAGTGCGGGGAAAGCCTTTAAAACAAATTCACTTTTGTGTCAATAAAGATCTTTTGTCCCACAATAAGCCCCGATTGAAGGCTGTATAGAATCTCACAAAATTACTTCACTATATCAACAAACCGTATCTATCACAAGTACAGAGTGGCGTCAGCAGGACGAAGTACTATTATCTTATCCTATTTCGCTTTATATACAGACATGCGCCTGTATACTGAACATATTAAAATTTTCAACTACACAAACTGACAGTCATTTCACTGGGCTAATCTATTATCAATCAACGATCAATGCAGACCAAATTTTTAAAGTTAGATAGTCATACGTCATCAAAACTTTTTACTGAGGGTATTTATCCAAACATGTTGACTGGTCAAGCTATTAAACCGAACGCAAAGTTCGCACATAAGATTGATTTTTTTTTTCAAGTTCACAACAAAAATAGTGAAAAGTATTCCAACCTAATTTTTGCTGTTTGTTCAAATAAATATTGCGGACGACGATATCTACAAAATATATCACCACTTTGAATGCGAGATCCGTGTACTGTACATATAAGGTATACGCCCAGCATACGTCTTATATGCATTAGCTTTCCCACCTAAAAGCTTTGGGGCAGTTTGATGAAATGTACTGAAACCACAAACAAATATAGGAGATAGACATCTCAGTGACGCAGAAATCACGATACGCTCGGTGATCAACTAGGACAAACCGTTCGGGGACTATATCGTGTTTCCTGTGGGAAATACTTTTCAAGCGAGCGATCGGACTGCGACAAATATTATCTATTTAATTGATTTCTTCCGCTGTTTAGAATTAATTAAATATATTGATCGTCCATGAAACAGGTCAAAAACATGGCAGAACGTATCAAACTTTTTTGCATAAACAAAATCTTCATTATTTTTTATCAATATCGAGAGAACTTGAATACTGTTTACTTACCCAAAATATGAAATTGAAGGCAAACAGGAGGTACTTCAGACAAGACATGCATCCGCTCAAACCCATGTTTCTCCTTTTTACTAGAATAGAACTACTGTTAGCAATGAATCTAAACAGAGCTCTGAGTATTATCGATACAAATATCCGTAGGCATTTATTCAAATGGCAACAATATCATAGTCGGTTTTCAATGCTACAAAATGTGATTCAATCATAACCATAGCTATTATGAATGACTGGCTTAATCCGTACTCCTATCTGCCTATTGAATAAAAAACCTGGTACAAAATCTAAAGAGATCGGATTGCCCCCATTCATTTCAATGCCGCTCTCTTTCTATGCGCCGTGGCGGAGCGAAACGAGCCTACTTGTTCATACCGAACCTCGTTATTCAAACGATTCATATATACCCTTGCTTTAATAACAATGCTATTACACGTGTGGATCTCAATCCCCATGCTCGCACGAAGTTGACACAAACATTTCGGTCCACGCGACGTGACGAGCAGTCAAAATAGTAAACTAAAAGCGTAGCCTGAAGCAAAAAATAATAATACACACAATCAACTGAGTCTATGGCGACGATTCGCTTTCGTCACGAAGAAAAAAGTAAAGCCTTTTTCTCGGTCACGCTCCGCCAACGTATTTTGACGACTGCTCAGGTAACGCGGGATTTTCAGTGTTCAAAATGACTGGCTCGCATATCCAAAATTAGAATTCTGGCACTTTCAACACTTATACGTGTACATCGACATGGCGTCGCAAAACTTTAATTTTACCCTTCTTTGTCATAGTCAAATCTGATGATAAAAAAGTCGGTGTTACGACAAGATATCATCCAAAAATTGATGATAATACTATCGAAATGTTGTTGCAAAATGTTTGATCTGAAAGTACTCTACTATGTCGATTTGGCTGCCACTTCAAAAACTCCATCGTTGGACGATTGTCGATGCCGCCGTTATATACGTATGTATACTATTTCAACACGTCGATTGTCGTAGGGGACGTAGCTCAGTGGTAGAGCGCGCGCTTTGCATGCGCGAGGCCCCGGGTTCGATACCCGGCGTCTCCACAGCTTTTTGCAATTCGTAACTCGAATTTGAATAATTTAGTCAAAACTTGCATTGGCCGGGAATCGAACCCGGGCCTCCCGCGTGGCAGGCGAGAATTCTACCACTGAACCACCAATGCGACAAGGTTGGAGGGATTAGATTAGTAGTTTAAAGCGGGAGCTAATCTACTGTGACATGTGCAAAAAGATGGGGCACAGTAGAAAAATTTAGGGAAAAGCCTATGGACCTTTCCCCGACCTATGACCCCCGGAAAATTCTTCCTATACTTTAACATTGCAAAATTTTCGGGGCTATTTTAAGAGTGCTTTTGCGAGTTGGCGCCTGTAAAATGGGGTATGTGTTTCAAACCATCATTATGATTCATCGCATACAACAATCTGTTTTTTAAAAGTACCGGTAAAGAATTTCAGGCTAGTCTATCACAGCTATTTCTACACTAATTTTTATTACTGCAATTAAATTAAAACTTCTAGGAAGACAGAGTGATCCTTGAATTATCTGATTTTTATTCAAGTTTCCGAAACACAACTGAAAACTAACGAATATAGTTCAAAAACGCGAAAACGAGGTAATGTTTACAACCACGCTTTAAAATCTGTCTGAGTGAGACAAGTGTCTGAGCGGATGCGAAAGGGGGCATTGTTACGTCACTTTTTGCATCTTGCTGATTGGCCAATGTCACGAAGTGAACAAGGAAGTCGATGCTCGGGGAAAGGTCATACGCAGCGCTGGATTAACCATTAAGCAAAATAAGCACGTTCTTAGGACACCAAGAAAAAGGTGGCACCAATGACACTATTTTTTGTAAAATGTAAACTAAAATGGATCACAATTAAAAACGGGATATCATATTATTTGCACGTATATTCAAACGTTTTATATTCGGAGCAGCGCACACGATAGTCACAGATGAACGCCTTCTATTCATGGCATAAATATATAGGCTTACCGTACGCTCCATTTTAGGCGGGACAGTCCCGCTTTTTACCGTCTTATCCCGGCGTCCCGACTGGTAAGCCAAAAGTTCCGCTTTATCATTCAGCCAGCCAGCACAATACACGAACATTACCAATCAGCATGTTCTCGTTACTGTTGTTGCTGTGTGGCAAACCGGTAGCCTACTTGCTGACGGTGAAAGCGTGATTTTGTTTGTTTCGTTGTTTTCCGCGAACATTGTTGGCGGATAATTGCTACAATTTGTTACGTGTATAAGCCCTGTACGTCAAGAGTTAGCTGGTCAGCCACTTTTGCAATAGCCAGTGCTGTAGGCTTGAATTACTGGTTTATAAAATTGTCTTACTGTATTTCTTAATTTAAAATCAATACTGATTGGTCCCGCTCTGACTTGTACGAGAATGTAACATTGAACAACGTCTTTTTGAAGAAGGTGTTATCTACAGAAAAGTATGATTGGGCGAGTAAGTAAATTATCAATGCTTGAAAGACGACAAGCTATTTTATAATTCTTTCTTTCTTTTGCTGTACATAAAAAATCTGAACACGAATTATTTTGTATCTTCATCGTCAATTATATTTTTCGAACTGAAACCGATACTTAGACAGAGAATATGCGCATGAACTGTCGATGACAATATGGTCAATGAGGTGTGTCGCGGATCTTTTTTTTTTAATTTCGGAAAATGAGCTGCTTGTATTACACACTGGCATGCGGGCAAGCTTGTGAAACTTGAGGGTGCACTATCCATTAGATCAGGGGTGTGCAAAATGCGGCCCATAAGGAAAAATTGTGAGACCCACGGAGAAATTTGAAATGCCAGCGAAACGAGTTTTTAGTTTAGTTAATTAATCTGGTACGTGCGAGCAATTCTAATCTTTCTGCGTCGCAAAGCCTATCTATACCAGTAGGCCTACCTGAGTGCTACTGTCATATTAGCAAAACTAGCTAGCAAAATCCTGTTGCAAAATGCACGATGTTATTAAAACGTATTTCTTACTGAATTCGTTTAAGGTCGGTGTGACAATAAATTTGAATAGCAGTTTTCTTTAGAAACTTATGCGTTTTAACTCACCACTTTTGCAAGGACCGCTAATAATGCCGTAAAATCACTAACAAAAAAGAACAATTTTTTGTGCCTGCAACTAGAAAGGCTATCTCAAATAGAGGTGCGGCCCGCGGCTTCACCCAGTTACTTGTATATCTGACCCTCCTGTAATAAAGTTTGCACACCCCTGCATTAGGTAACTGATAATATTATTGCATTCGCCTTGTCAATGTAGTACGAGTGATTGTCACATGTAAATGTACTGGATTGTTATTGGACACGTTTAGTGGACATAACGATCATTTTGTTTTTATGTTGTTCTTGTTCTTGTTGTTCTCTAACACTTTTTGGACACCTAGTGGAAATATTAAAAAAACGCTTTTCTCTTCGATAACTGGACCAATTGCTTTGAATTTTCAGTGGTTAAAGATGAAATTTTGCTCCAGGAGGCTATTATTTTTATTTATTTCAAATATTTCTGTTAGCTCTGTAAGATTTGTTTTTGTTTGCTATGACGTCACCGAACGTTCCGCGGATATCGGACGCCATTTTGTGTCCTACTGTACTGCTTCGCTTGGTGTGAATATATTTGTAGACTGTTATCTGACGATACGGTAAACCGTACTGTACTGCTTCGCTTGGTGTGAATATATTTGTAGACTGTGATCTGACGGTACGGTAAACTGTACTGCGAACAGACGTGTCCATATCTTTGGGCGTAGCTCTCTTGTGTTATAATGTATTTGTGAACATGACGTCCACCTTCCACCATGTTCGTGACGTTGTTAATTGAGTAAGATTTCTGATCCACTCGGTCTTCGTCGGTAGCGATAGGGCAGGCGAAGCGTAGGCTACGTCCACTTCCACCATGTTGACTTGCGCACTCAGTTGGGCTAACAGGGAAGCAAGTTTGACCGAGTTTTGACTACCTGCCCACGAATCCTATTCAATCATCGGCGCATCGGCGAACCCCACAAGGTAAGCGAAGTTGTAGGGAAGCAACAGCAGACAAGAAAGAAAACAGGGGAGGGGCCTTCGGCAGTCAGGACACCGGACGAACAGAGGGCAAGGGAGACAGCATACAAACGAGAGCAGCAGCCAAGGAGATGTAGAGTAGGCCATCAATGCCAGCAGCAGGGCGACCAGCCCGCAAGCAGGTAAAAGGAAATAAATGTCGGTCATCGATTCCAGCAGCAAAAGTTAGTTAGTAGTCAAGAAAAGAAGCTGGAGTAAGGGAAAATAAAATAGAGTGGTGGTAAATCAGCGAGGTCCCTACCTATAACTAGCAGAGGGAGAAATGAGAAAAGTCAGGTAGTAGTTCACCTAGGCTGCTGCGTTGGTGCAGCAATGAATTGTTACCAAATAAAACCATGCAAAATCGCAACACTTTAATAATTTATTAGCCATGAATACTGAAATTTTGTCTTTCAATCTCAGATATAAGACCACTGTGACACGTGTCCCACTTGTACCACGTGTCAAGTGGGACACGTGATACAAGTAGGACACGGCATTTTGGAGACATCGCTACAGATCTAGATAAATCACAGTCTGAAATGTCCTGTATTTTGCAAAACATCAACTGTCAGCCTACAACTTGATACATGATTTCTCACCTCTCAATCGCTTCATTTCTTTCAACTCCTGCATGGCTTATCATTGCTGCCCACGTTCTTGTCGACCTTATGAATTTGGACCAACTGCCATCAGTAAAATTGGTTATTTTCCCCTCTTCCTCACAAACGTGCATTACAAAAACGGTCATTATTTTCTGAATCAAATATGCCGTTGCCTATATAGTAGTACGGTATAAGTCTGCTGAATATTTAAGAATTGCCATTAAATTAATCATAAACTTTACATTCAAGCATGAAAATACCGAATCGTTGTTTGTGGCATATCTTTCTAGGACTAGCCTTTCTTGAAGTTACCGCACCGTACCTATTCAACAACGTTATATGAACTAGTGCTCAACTAAAATTGCTATCCATGGTAAGGATCTGCAGGTGTTTAATAACCTACTTTTTAACACCGTCTTAGCATAACCTAACTACTAATAACTAAAAAAGGCGATGGGAAGGCTACTCAACTCAACACAAGAGTGGGCAGTACAAACTGAGATTCATCCAACCGCCAACAGCTGATAAGATTTTAATTGTAAGGTCATGCAGAAGTCTGCGATCATTGGCCAATGTTACCGGATACGCAGGGAATATAGGACAGATGGTAGCACATATTTCTTGTAGTAAAAGCGTCTTTTTCGTAAAACGTGCAACTTTTGGAAATGGGAACAAGGTATTATTTGTTACTAAATTTCTAAGGAACATTTTAAAAGTTATTTCCAAGTAATCTCCTTATGTACGCTACGAAACTGAAATATAAACGTCCGCGTCTCACGCCTATACGTATACGCCTATACCTTCATATGATGTTCATGACAATGAAAACCAGACTTCAGTGCATGAGATTAATGATAAGTACAATGCTGATAATTTTTTTGCCGGTTCATATAATTAAGTTGATTCATTTAATATTAATGGTCCTGATGAAGCTTTTGCTGTTTTATATGTGAATACCAACCGTGTCAAACTGAAAATTGGCACTAATGGTAAATGCAATGTTTTGCCATTATGTATTTTTCATCGTGCCAGTTCTGATTAAAAGATTGATTGAAGAAATCTTGCATTTTTGATTGACCATGGGTCTTCTAATAGAATTCCTCTAATTAGATTTAAATTTCAAGTTGTTTATAAAAATGTCACATCTATTCTTGGAATAAATGATTGTTCAAATTTGAATGTTTTTATTTTGAATGTGCATGAGTCGAAATCCCAAAGTGTTCCTTCCGTACTTTTTGCCTGAGTCCGTTTGCAAAACTGCAAAGTGTTGTCACCTGTTTTGAGGTCCTGCTTAAGCTAAGTTAGCAAGGCCAATCTATCAGCTTCTTACCATGCTCCTACAACAACAAATTGGCATCTGAATCGCATCAGAAAACACGAATTTAACAGCAGGCAGTTTATTTCATACGAATAAAACGCAACCTGTTATTGTTCAATAAATAAAAGCGATCACAACAATATTTTGAAACAGCATAATAATATTTAAGTAAATAAGATGAATTAGGAAAGGAAATAGTGGACATATAATTTACGTCACAATTTGCATGAAAAAATAAAATATTATTAAAAAGAAAATACCTGCAATAAGGATAGTCATTATTTGTAACGCTGTTGGGAAGGCTTCTTGTCTAAGCACAATATGGTTATAGTTCTGATTATGTAAATATTAGTATTGAGAGTCAACTGTATTGAACGACAGTTTGCAGCAATGTTGATTTCATATAAACCTGTTTTCCATAATCGAACGATATAGCTACCATTTTTAGGATCGAATTTCTGGAGCTTGTGAAAAATCTTCTCGAGGAATATATTTTTCTGAAACAACAGTAAATAGTAGCCGTCTCAAAACGAATATAATTTTGTTTAATGTGACTGATGATTTGTACAGCATGCAATCTCTTATCATTCATTCTGTAGAAGAATATACAAATGAACGAAATGTATATTATTTTAAATGAGTTTTATATAATTTTTTATATTGTAGAACATTTCATTAAAAATTCAGAATGAGAACACGAATCTTTGTATATCCGATGAAATCATAAAGCGCGTAACAGATACTCCAACGGAATGGGCAGCGAGCACTTAGCTTTTAAATAATGTTTCAAATTTTCTGTTGTTGGTATGATCGTCTGTATTTTGCCTATTGAATGAAGGCTATAGCTATCCGGTATTTGTTGTGCGTCAGTGATTGTCCTTGTCGCTCCAGAAAATTGAAGTGTTGGCCTGATTTGTGTGTCAAGCTTCGATATTTACTCTTTCCGATGCAGCGCGGACCTCGGACATCCATCTTTGTCAAGCGATTTGCTCGCACTCATTCTGTTCTTTACACGTCAGTTTCCACATGCGAAGATGTAATAGGCGAACTATTACTGATCACTTTAATGGATTCGTGACCCATCAAAGCTACATTATCGCAACATTTATTGTTCGGAGTTAGATTTTCTCTGCTGCTTTCTCGCGATAAATTTTTTGACATCAAGCTGGACGCATCTTGGCGTGCTTGAGTCAATGACATCAACATCGTGGCGCCCTCTCCGATATTGATAGATGCTTGACTGCCGTGGATAGGAGAACCTGCATCAGATGACACGACGCTCTTTTTGCGTGTAAATGGTAGATATGGACACGTAGTGACGTGACTATACTGCGACTGTTCTTCTCCATCTGATTCACGATGATAAAAGTAATTAAAGTTTGAAACGATAACAGGAACGGGTAGAGCAATGCAAAGCACGCCGGCGATAGCGCACAATGATCCGACGAATTTGCCGCCAACTGTTTTCGGACGCATGTCACCATATCCCACCTGAAAATAATCACAAAAATAGAATTATGGTTGGGTGTTAAATGAGCTTAAATCACGAGAAACACTACTTAGTGATGATCAATCGTTTTGTAGTTCTGAAATCTCGATAATTCAGCAATAAACGGACGCTAAATTATTAGGGCGTGGAAACAAGTTTTGTCACTTGGTTCATGTTTCAAAAATAAGTTTAGAAAACAAATAAAAAACCGATCTGTTGCCAAAATGTTCATCGCTAAAGTGAATAGACAAAACAAATATTTGAAGAAATTTTTGTGTTGTGTAAAGTTGTTAAAGTTTACTTACCGTAGTCATTGTGACAACTGCCCACCAAAACGCCTCTGGAATCGACGTGAAATCGGTTCCTTGATTCGAATCGGCTTCGGCAAAATACACTGCTGACGAAAACAATATAACTCCAATGAACAGGAAAAATATTAGCAGACCGAGCTCTCGCATTGATGCTTTTAAAGTTTGAGCCAAAATTTGTAATCCTTTCGAGTGGCGTGAAAGCTTAAAGATGCGAAATACTCTTACAAGCCTTATAACACGAAGTATTGCAAGTGACATTCCTTTATTTGATGTATCCTCTCCCTCTCCTTTCGATAAATCCGTTCCAAGAGTAATGAAATAAGGCGCTATCGCCACAAGGTCTATTATGTTCATCATATCTTTGAAGAAATTGCACTTGTTGGGACAGCATAGGAAGCGTACGGTAACTTCTAAACTGAACCAGCAGATGCAGATAGTCTCAATAACCCAGAAAGGATTGTCGAACAGACTACGCGTTGGAGTTGTCGGCTCTGTGGATGTTATGCTATCTGATGATAATATAGCGGCAAGGGTTGGCGATATGATGTCAGAATTTGACGAAGATTTGATTCCACTGGTGCTGTTACTTGTTTGGCGATTTGGGTTCAGGGTCGGTAGTGTTTCCAGGCAAAAAGATATAATAGAAAGTAGAATAACAGAAACCGACATAATGGCGACGCATCGTGCAGCAGTGGAGCTTTCGGGATACCTATAAAAAAAGTACATTGCGAGTTAATTTTTACTTATCGACAAAAAGAGTGCACATTAGGTATAAGTCCGTATCGATTAGTTTTGTGTTTCGAATAATTTTAATGTTTTTCACTGATATATTGGCTTTGTGGCCTGGAATCACACATTACGGAATCGAGTCTTCTCTATATTTACCAAATCATAAACACAATATGCTGCTTGTTATGTCTCAGTTACTCGGAAGTTTTATTCAAACAGAAGGCTAGTGAAAACATTCTAATAAACAAGAGTTTTTGCGGACCATTCAACACTAACTTACTCGAACAACAGCCATATGCTTCTTTGTGGTTCCGTATTAGGCAGTGGCTTCTCTTTCTCTTTAATGTAGCCTTCATCCGCTTTATATTTTTCCAGGGCTGTTTGTCCGAGTTGATAAAATTTTATTTCTTCCGTAAATACGTCAATGGGAACATTCACAGGACGTCGTAATCTTCCACCGCTCTGTTAATGGGAAAAAAATCTATAAATAGAAGGATTATAATGCAGAACGTTAAGTCCGATTAAAAACCCGTCAGTTGCCTCAACATGGTAATGTATACTCTAGTCAGGTTATTTGTTCCAGTTGATATTACCACAGATTCCACAAATTTAGGCCATTCGATTCAGAAGGTTAGTATCCCAGCGAGTTCTAATGGTAAAAAAATTCCCTCACTTCACTCAATAACTAAAGTAAAGTGTGTAAAAATACTATCTAAAAAATTATTGCCAACGCTACGCTTCATCTTCTAAAGGCTGAATTACAAAAATGTAACACTGTATTGTTATTAAAAATCAGGTAAACAAATTTAAAACAATAGTTAGTTCCCAGTTCGAATCATTCCTATGGGATTGAACTGGTATTGTTAGAACCAGTGATCGTTATCTGTCTTGAAGTCATATCAAATAGCGTGCGCTCTGTAGTCCTCAAAAGTTTTGTTTCGTTGAAGGTTGTGGAATTCCCCAATAACAACATTGCTGTTTATGTTGTCGCTATTCCCCAAAGCGACATCGAAATCTTGTTAATGAGAACGTTAAAATGAGTCACCTTGTTTTTGTCGTTAACAATTGACAACGCTACATGTATTTGTCGACAATATGCTTGTTGGCGGTTATTGAACCGCTCATTAACTAAGTTTGACAAACTAGTGTTTCATCACGTCCTCATTAGCAAGTCAATTTTATGCAAAAATAAAAACGTAGAAATGTATTACAATGCGATAACGACATCGTACAATCCGCTATAAGTTGCATGTTAGGTGAACCCGTAACAGATTTAATGTAAAATAATTTTGTTCGTCATTTTTCGATGTTATAATCATATGTGGACATTTCTTTTTTAAATTTATCTGTATATACTGCACAGTAAGTTTTTGTGATCCAGAAACCCAAACCTAAATTTACCTTTACATAGGATAAGTATTTGTGTACTACGCATCTGTAAAACGTTTTGGGTATGGACAGAGCTTTTGAGCGTTATCGGCAATTTAATCGAGAAAGATGCCGCAACGAGAACGGTCATGAAATATTTATTACGTTTCTTGCGCGCTGTGCAAATGGCAGTTACAGTATAACTCTAAAACCCGTAGCTTTGTGGAAAATTTATCATATTGATAATACACCCCATGTTCGGCTATACCATGAATTGAGTATAAACATTGAATTTTCTGTATGCTCTTACTTGACCTTTCACATAAAGAATTTTAATATTGAATGAATTTTATCATGTTTATTACTGAGGAGGTATTTGCACCGCGACGTTCAAAATGATTTTCTTTGTTCTCATACGATAATGACAAATTGATAAATATGAATTATATTATTGGTATATTGGATGCATCTAATATTAAAATTATTTTTTCGAAGGAGGATGGCAAAGAAACGTTTATTTACAATGAAAAATCGAGGCCAGACAAATATTTCGAAGAAGTTTTTCTCTATCTGATCGACCTTAGACTTCCCGGATTCAGGCTCCATCTCCGCCACCTCATCCATGTATTTTAAAGTTAGTTATGAGAAATATCATTGCGGAAGAATTCGGTACTAGCAAACACAATAACCTATTATGTACAAGTAAGTCTATTGAGATATACAGTAGATGATAGGATAGGATTTACATATTTATCCCGGGGGAGAGGAAAGCCCGAACCACGGCCTCTCGTCCGGTTACCATTCCAAGTCGGGTATGGGATTAGTTTTTTACTGTATTTTTTTTTCTTTTTCGGAAGCATGGACTTGGTGGTGGAGGAAGCCGTAACCGACCAGCGGTTACATGAACCACCCAACGACGGCGAGGAGTCCAGCAATCCTCTCGCACATAACCATCCCTGCATGGGATTCGAACCTGCGAACCCACGCAGAGTAATTAGAGGTGCGGTGGCGAGCGTATTCCTAACGCTTAGCCCGTTGAGCCACACCGCCGCGCCAGTATGAAACGTCTTATTATTAAAGTGCAATTCCCAGCGATATATTATTTACTTCATACTGAGTTGAAATAAGTTTATTATTATATGAAGAAGAGACATTCCTAGCGACTGATTATGGATAGGGATGGCGGAATCGACTCCGGTATCGATTCTTCGTGGATTTGACTAGAATCGATTTCGATGACTTGGAATCGATTCTTGGAGTAAAACTTGGATTGCAAACAAAGCATAACGTTTTGTGACACAAATATGTATAAACCGCTATGTAGAGTTGCTACTACGCGGCAAACTTCACTATATTTTACACTCTCTTCCCACTCGCCCGTTTGCGCAGGTCATGGACACGGGCAACATTTCATTTGAATATTTTTTTCTCTTATCTTTTGTCTATAAAATGTTTACACCCCAATCCGGTACACCGTAGTAGCAAAATAGCTCTTCAATAGGAAGAATGAAGCATACATTGAAAACCTGAACAATGATGGTATTGACAGATTAGAAGCAAGGGGCAGCGACATTGTTGATCAGGGAGGTGGAGGCTTCAACTGAGATATCAAAATGTTTGAATGACAGAAATTTTGGCATATCGGCGACCCAAGAATATGTTGCAATGGTGGAAACAAAACAAAAATCTTATCCAAACATCGCAGTTGTCGTCCAAAAGTACCTCTTTGTCCCATCAACATCCGCTGCATCAGAAAGAGCATTTAGCTCAGCGGGGGTTAGACTTGAAGGAAGGCATGTAAACGAATTGAACTTTTTGGGTTGCAATAGATTTTTGTTTGCTACGACAGTGATGTTTTGGACCCAAAGTGGACATAGAGATCGTTTGGTTATTATGTTGTTTTTGTTAGAATTCATTTTCTTGTTATTGTTAAAATATCTTTTCTCACCTACTGGAACTATTTATTGCTTTGAAATTTTCAATGGTTAAAAATTGTATTTTTTTTCTCTAGAAGGCTTTTATTTTATGTATTTCAAAAATTTCCGTGGGCTTTTAGGGAAAACGTTTTTTGTGTGTGATTTTGTCTACTGTGACAGATTGAAAACCCATACTACTTAGTTTTGATCTTTGTGTCCATATATTTGAACATCGTCTCTTGTTCGATTTCCTATGGTATTGTTTAAGTGGGTATGTTTTCTCGGTAAGCTATGTCGAGGAATCAAGATTCGGAATCGAAAATTTAGGAATCGGATAATAATCGAATACTTGTAAGTAGTCATACTTAGCATTCCTAATTATGGAAGCTACACCACATGAAAAAGTAGAAGATCCGATACAAACGGCGGAAGGTCTTAAGGTCTTTAAACAAAACGTTACTGAAACTTATTTGAATAAATTGATTTTATCGATTTTTTACTTGAGTTGGGAATTCAGGGTTGATTCAATTGTCCAAAATGCAAGTTCCAATATGTGGTGGCTTATAACAAGTTCATTAACACGGGCCTGCTTGTGCCCTATTTGTTCACGCTTTACATGTAACATTTTGTTATGGAGGGATTAATTGCTTGCCTCAGTTAGTTCATTCTTAAATGTTTATGGAAGGTTCAAAATGTCAGTGAGAACTATTTTAATTGTGAATGTATGTTGACCTTTTACGCTGATTTAATTCGTATATAACTTATACCATTCCAGGTACAAACAATCGATGATCTCTTATGATCGACACTTGGACATGTATGAATTTCCAACAATTTTCGTCCATGTTATGTCAGGTGATTTACCCATAATGCACTCTTGAGCATAGGTTTAGTGAAGTAGCATTCAGATTTAGAGATTACATTCGTAAAATGTCACGTCCGTATCTGAATGAATGCTCTATATATAGCGTATTTCCTATTATAAGCAACATTTTCAGTGAAATTAACTGTTCTAGTACACAAAGCGCTTTAAATCATCAACCAAAGCCGAAAGAATGGTCGCTCTGGTACGAGTAACAATAGAATAGATTTTAAAAGATCAGACATGGTATTTATTACCTATCTCACTGAAAATACCCTTTTATCTACAATCCATTAATAGCGACTTGAATCTAATGATTTTTTAGATACGACGAGGAAGTAGGGTTAGATGCTTTTTATTTCTCCGAATAAGAAGTCAAATTGAAGATTTTATTTCCATGGCAAAATTCGAATGTTTAACCCATTTTCATAGTGCACATAATCTAAATTATTTGCTAGTTGCAAAAATGAAAAATGATTTCTTTATGCTCATCTCTACAAGTAAGGTCATTAGTACTTGCAAAAAAATTTTTACTCCATGAGGTGGTAGCGTGTTAATGAAATTTGTGAAATACAAACTAACTGGTGCTAGACCCAACAATGGCGGCATCAGATTATGTGTACCTGTAATAAGTATGACGAGGGTAACGATGCCTGATATTTCTGAATTATTAAAATTGTTTATATTTAAAAGTGGTGAATATTTTATCCATAATTTGCATGCATGAAAATTTGGCCAAAATATATGATATGGGTATCAAGGATTAGAGTGATGAAAATTATGTTGAAGAAATTGGATGATATGTTTGCTCGACGAAATACCATACTTGATAAAGCAAGTTGGACGGAAGATATGAAAACTTTTTGGTACTGCACTTAAACGATTTTGAATTCATCTATTATTCAGTAATACCGAGAACACTCCTGTAATGAGATGACAAAATAAATTCAATAAATTATGTTTCAGTTCGCATATGCACTTCTGCATTGTTGACCCCGGGAGCACAAAATACCCCGCTGTATGGATCTTAACTAGGTTTTTGAATTAGGAATTTATTTCGAACATAACATGGGCCCAAAATACGTTAACTATTGCCCAAAGTTCGTCCGTAATGATCAGAATGGGTGATGCGCGCAGAACAGTCTGTGTATAAGTGAGTATACTTTTACCGAATGAAGGAATCTATCGGAACGATTTACTCTTACTTGGTTTTAAATTTCATTCTTCATTACATCACAAAATAAATTGGGCAGTCAATAGCAAATCAGGAGGTCAACGTATATTATAAACAATCATGGAAGTTTAATCGATTTAGATTGACGTATTCAATAGCAAGAAGAAAATTGCGTTTCAAAATATGAAGCAATTCGATTGTCTTGCATAAAGTGAATACTATTTTCTATTTTATTTTGAATATTAGTTGAAATTCGATTATTAAGTTATCAAAAAAACATCGATTCGACAGATTTTGAATTTTAGTATCGAATGTGCTTATCGATGTAAGAGCCGGGGCTGATTCTTCGTTTTTTTTATATTTTTTATTTTATTTATATATTATACAGCTCCCAAAATGGCAATATCTACCGTTACTCAAATCATTCTTTTTCATATTTAACTTTACCACCATAATCTTTCTTTGCATGATTAAATTAGGCGGGAAATTATCACATGATCGTTTTATACTATTTCGGCGGAAAAAAGGCCACAGAAAATCCGCAGAATAAAAAAATATTTTGTTACGTATCACATCTGCACTTTTCACGCATTAGTTTTGCATTTTTCAGTTCGAATTCAACTAAAAGGCAAAAAGACAGGACAATATTATCGCATAATTTGATTGCCGTGTCCACCTCTCGTGTCGAAGTATCATTGATCAACTTCGGGGGATTGGAAAAAATAGAAAATTCTTTATTGCCCATGGGTGATCGACTAGTATATAAAATTGAACAACAGATATGACATTACAGCGTATATCACGCAACAGAGCGTAGATAATGCCACGCACCGCACGCAGCAAACCACACCTGCCCTGAAATGCGTGATGCGGTTAATTCGCTCAACGTACAGACGGAAAATGTCTTTCCTGAGGGAAATACGAATTTTAAATAATCCCGCGGTTAAAAACAATCTGATTTATCATGCAAGGAGAAATTGAAACTCAGTTTATTTATTTTATTAGGTTTGTCTGATCTATTTTCGTTATATGTCCCATTTTCATCTGCAATATGACGGAGATCGGAAAATATTTCAAATGGATGACGAATATATTATGTTTTGAAAAAAAAAATTGAACATCACAGATGAGTCGGATTTTCAGTCAAACACACAATACATAGGACAATATTAATCTAAGGTCTTACCTGATAATAATATAAAATAGCGTCGAATGAAGGCCTATTTCGGTCGAAAAAATATTCATTTCTCAGTGGGTCATAAAATTGCATCCTTTTTTCCCTGTCTCCCAACAAAGTATCTGGAAATTGGTCTAAAGTTTGCAATTGTGTCTCAAATCGAAGTCCGGAGACGTTTATGACGATTCGTTCGCAGCAGTCGTGATCCATATCTGAAATGTTGAGTAAAAGTCGCAAAAAAGGCAAAAGTCTGAATACTGATATAACTGTCGTCTATTGGAGTAATTACAATGATGTTTGAATAAATGAATGCGATTTGAAAGGAAGTTTTAACATATGGCTCATGCCGAGATCAAAGCGAAGAGCTCGCCACGATTTACAGCTTGGAACTGCACATTAAGGTCTTAAAATTCAAACATGCTGTCTATATGGAAGACTTAAAATCTATTTCAGAGAAAAATATTTAAATATCCAATACTTTTTAACAAATATATTACATCATATTATAGCTCAATTTCAAATTAATTAAAGTAAGAATTCATTCGCATTTTTCCAAATACCTTTGCAGATATCAATTTAATTGTTATCACGGATCTCGGATATTATGTTTTGGATAATCAATAATAAAAATATTTGAGTTGTAAGCAAATTCAAAATTAATATTCACATATAGTAAAATTTCATTTTGTAATATATTTGTAAAATTCAAGTCAGTTGTATGAAAAAAGAGCAATATTAAATTAGTACTGTGTTTGTATGGTGAAATAAATTATTTTTTATACCTGCTGCGTGATCCAGTAACTTTTCTGTAGAACTCTCTGCCCGGGGAAAAAAGACATCTCCATCTACTCGCAGAAACGAATGAGAGCTTGGAAACGTCCTGTAACAAAATTGCATTTTACTTAAGGTACGGTAAGTACTTTTTGAACTCAGATGCAGTCAACACCATGAGTTAAACATTTCTGTTGTTGACAGTTCAAAAGATGATCTGTAAGAAAAAGACAATATTTTTGAACAATTGTCCAAAGATTTTTAACACATTCGTGGATGATATAGAATTTATCAGATATAGATATTTTTGTCAAGACTCAATTCGATGACTGACCCTTTACAAGAATTTACTTCGAAATACCAGTTAGTTTATTATGTTTTTAACACTAGCAACACATTACGCATATGTGTGTTTCGTTAAGAGCATTTGATCCGGGAAAAGGCTTTGCTGGTTGAAATAAAACAGCGTCCACCTTTCCACTTCACCTTCGTGAATTATTTATTTATCGTCGGTGAAAAAGGTGGCTTCGATAATAGAAACTGCGAAAGAATATATGGAATTGTGACCGACAATTTATTTTTTGTTTGTACAAAGCTTCGAAAGAACAATATTCATCTCGTATTTCAGGATTTCATTTGGAATTTGCTAAAGACTACACATTAGGCAGACAAATATATTGTAGATAAATGCAATTGTGTATTTAAAACACAAAACCCAAGTATAAAAACGAGCCACCCCATGCCGTACTAAAGTTGAACACAAGAAATGCAACCATTGGGCAAATGCTTCCATGAAGTTTCAGCTGTTCGAGGCTTTTTGGCGAAATGTAATTTTCGAAGGGTGATTTCCTTAAGCACAATAGCGTTGGCTGTTGAATAATACATTTAGCGTTCTAGAGCGTACAAGCTGATGTTATTGTACTTTCAATATAGCTTACATGTAAATTTACTTTATATGACTGGATAACATGGCGTCTTGCTTCAAGTTGCCCCGATTATAACGAAACATCAGTCTGCTTTTACACTACTAATATCTTTAAAGTTACCTTACTTCGCAGTTACATTTGAATAATTTGACTTTCATTTTGTAGCAAAAACCTATGCATTCGCTACAATTCTATGGTAAAAGAATTCGAATTCATTTTTTTCTGATTCTTTCATTTCAAAATTTTGTAGGAAAAAAATTTCAGACACAAAGTTGACACCATTGGAATTTTTGTCGCAAATCTTTTGCAATATTTTTTGCTACGACTGTCAATTCATCAAAATTATTGTAAACTTAACTTAAGAAGAATTACACTCGCAAAATATATCTACCATGCCATATATCTATCTATGCCATATTTCTACCGACCGAGCTTCAGCATTGTGACAACTGCTCGCTGCTCGGGTAGGAATACCGGACAGGATTATTGAACGGCCTGGCTAATGATATTAAAAAACAACGGATCACGTTTCAAACTGAACTTCATAATTTTATTGAGGAATTAATAAAATACAACTACTATATAAAATTACTTTTGTGGTATTAAACTGCTGGTGATATTAAAATAATTTTGTGGTTAGGTAATATACTATGTATTATTACATTGTATTATATTAATTTAATCCTGTAAATAGTTATTTGATTATTTATCATCATTCAAAATTTTTGCAATATTTGCATTTTCAGAAACATTATTCGATCCTTTTTTGATTTTTCTCAAATGATCAAGACTCAGTTGATTTAATTTGATCAAAAGATATAAAATACGAAGGAAAAACGTACTGGAATCGCTTAGTATATTAAAATTTGAACGACGAACATTCAGAATTAAAGAAAGTTTGCAAATATACTTCACACGTAAAAAAGCGTTATCATCTCGAATATTTTCCGATTTAACCGATGCGAATTACATATCACAAGAAAATATGTAGGGAACTCAATTTTAGGTAAATAAAACTTTTTATCGATCTATGCCCGCTCTGACACATCTGAGATAGACGTCCGAGAATGATGCCAACGAAAAGAATAAAAATTGAAAGCATAATATCTCTGAAAACGCAATTTTGTTTCCGAGAACATTCTGGAGATCAGACTGGATTAAAATTGCGTCTGCTCTTAGGATCTCATTTAGTGCGTGATTGAAGCGATCGATTGATCGATGCTTGAACGAATGACTCCAGTCGGACGTTGTTTAGCAAAACAAACTGAGTAATAGATTAAACTAAATTAATATAAGAAACGATAAATCAGTATGAAAAAAAAATAAAAATCAGTGAATGATAATGCACAGAAGCACTATTCGAAAAACTGTTAGACGACAACAACATGCACATTCGGACTGGGTTCCACCACACACACACAAGGAGAAACCGTACCTATATTTACAAATATATCCTCTTTGTCTACATGCTAATGTTTTCGCAAAAGGGGTCAAATTTGTTGATGTTGCATTTACAGTTCAGTCATTTATATATAAATATAAGTTTTCTGCATATAGCAAATAATTTGCTGACATTTACACAGAAATTAATTGGCCATACAGGTTCAGACGCAAGGTACATGCTGTTTATTGCTATATTTTCACTGACCCGAAATATAGTCAGCATGTTGAATTGTTATAATTAGGAATAAAACTGTATATTCACTTTACTCCCTTCTTTCGATTACTCAAATGCAACTATGACCACGGGTGTCTGGTCGATAGATAATTATGTGGTATTGATGTGTACATTGTTGTAGTGACTGAGCCTAATCCCGGACAAAGGATCAGCATTGTTCTCTACATTGTATAATTCTGCATTCAGATAACTACAATTTTACTAGATCAGCTACTGGATCAGATCATCTTTTTAGTTAATGCGGATAGAAGTGATAACTAAAAGCTAAAATTTCCCCGATACAAGTATTTTTTGACAATGATCTTGTAAGGACCAAATCGATACAATATAACGTTAAAACAAATAATTAGTATGGAGACTGATACATTTATAACAATTCGTAGGAAGAGCGACTAAAGATTGAATTAATTCTGTGATTGCCATTCTAAATATGCGACTCCAAAATTCTATATGAAAAAACGTTTAAGAATTCGATTAAGTGTAATAATTTAATCATCGGTACCTCCTCCTCAAGGACGAGTCCAACACCCCTTGATATAACCTGGAGTTGGGACTTCTTTTAGTTCCTTCCTCACAACGTGTTGACGCAACGACACAGTTTCCAATAGACATCTTCTTTACATGCTATGTAATCCGACCTGGTTAATAACTTCTTCCTTAATCTACGCTCGAATCATATTTTCTATTTCTGTTGAGAATAGCGTTTGTGTACTAATTAATTGTTCTATGTATAAAATAGCAGTATGGGCAATGAGTGATAATTTCAAGAAATTTCATTGATCGTCTTAAAATAAACCTAATAATCAACATGTACAGGATGAACAAATATAGGTCTTTTCATCTCAGCCGTTGAAGGCCTAATTACATCTACCCATGGTACGGAAATGGTAATTTACCAAAAGAGCTAAAATGCTAAAAAGAGGGATGGGTGAGAAAGAATTGATTAGAGCTCAAAAAGTCTGTCCGTTATACACTAGGTATAATAAACACTTTCTTTCAGTCAAACCTTATATGTATTTCGCGTCTTGGGTTATCTTAGGCCTACAACCTATTTAGCTCCCACATTCTCTTTTAGAATCACATCAAATTTCCCAATAATTTTCAACTTTTCCCTTTCATCAAATTTTTGCCTTTTCCCTTAACTTTTTACCTATTGATCTATGTAGTTCAAACCAGAGAGATATTATTAAAATTAAACGGTAAGATATCACGATTTATTACTATTTATTATAATTCCTGAATAATTATCGGAAACGAATATAAAATTACCCTAAATAGCCTGTCGAACTGAAATCCGCTATATCTCGTTTGCCATTGAGAAAATAGTACTGCAGCCAGAATGTGTTTTTGATCAGTCGTCTTACGTTTACAAGAAAATTCTGAATTCACATTCCACAAATTGACAGCCTAGAGACTTAGAAGGTAAAATGAAATTTAGGAGCAATATGACAATTTGATCCCATGAGAGCGTTTCCTTTTGTCTGGCGTCTGATTTTAACGCATACTAACAATCGATACTGTCAAGTCAAAGCCCGTTAACTACTTTACTCAAGTACATTAGCCTTGAAGCTGAAACCACGTGGCATCATTATTATAATATTTTGAAGAAATCAACGCGTTGCGGTGCAGTTTCCTGCAAAAGGAGTGTGAGAAAGGAGTGCAAGTATTGCATAATCTGATATATCGTACTCATGTTTTAACAAAGCTAGCTAGTGATTTAAAGCCTACAACAGGGGTACTAAACTGGCGGACCGCGGTCCGAATCCGGACCTTTCGAGTATTCGATTCGGACAGCGCCCGATTCTATATTTCGATGCATTGGCCCGTTGGGTCAGGATATGTGTAGGTTTCCTTATATTAATGAATCAATTTTTTTTTCATATTTTTGGAAGTTATGTTATTATTTGCACCAAACTTATAAGAAAAGAACTGTGACGCCGTAACATTTAGAATAGCGTTGACTAAATTAGCGAACAGTCACAAGCCGGAAACTATCGTACGGTATGAATGTTTAGTTTTTTGCTTTTTCCCAGTTTTCCACGAGTCGGTTTTCTGTTTACTCTCTAACCTCAATATTGTAGGCACTGAAATATATTTGGGCGCACTGTGAAACTATTTTCTGGTAAGACGGGAACCCAATAATTTCAAAGTTTTGTATACGGATTTTCGGTGAAAATAGTTGAGTAGCTCTGGCCTACAATACGATATATGGAACTTGATCTTTCGCTACAAGCTTAAACATTGTAATGAACCAACTTGAACCAATGAATCAAGCACTTGCGAAATAGTTTTTACGCCGTTTGATACTCGTATGTGAGAGCATGGAATTTTGAAACGGCAGTTTATTGCTATTGAAATATGAAATCACTTTGCGAAATGGTTATTGTCGCTGAGGTTTTGACAAATTATCACACGATCACCTATGCTCAATTGAGTATTATTAGGACAAACTAATTTAGGTACTTAAACATATCATAGAATCACAGTAATTTCAAGTTTTCGTTATAGCCAACTGATCACTATGTTACGTGTTCGTTTGACATTGCGCTTCGACTACCTGTGGGCTGTATGCAGAGCAAAGCGTGTGTCTCCATATTTCGCCAAAGTGACTTCAACTTATATCTGATTTGTTACGATATGAATCTGGTTGTTAAACATGAAAGGTAGGTAAGCAATGCAATACTATCGTTACACCAACTAACAGTCTGTAACTGTAATCCTTTATAAACTGAATTGGTACTTGTACCGGTAGCTTATAGAAACATCGATTACGGTATTATTGAAGTCACCCTTGTTTTAGGTAAAATTTGGAAACGCTTACATTCAATCTAAAGTATATATTGATAGTAATATATTGATAGTGGCAATATACTTCCACTGATCATATCAATTCGAATATTTGTAACTGTTATTAAAATATTTAATAGAATAATAATGAACCATATAAACGTGAACTCTTTGTTCATCATCGAAAGATTTAGTTCTGAATATGTCAATAGCAATATTGAAAACCCTGTAAATACACAAATCGCCTTATTTTGTTTTAAAGCAGTGTAGCTAACTAATTTTGTTGTTGACATTGATCTTACTCTATTTCGTGCTAAAATCTGTTATCGTCAACCCAACCCACAATTTTAGTGCAAAACTACCTGAAATGAGTGTGATTCATTTCAAATTAAGTTTGCTTCTACTAAATTAGGCGAATAATGTCGGCCCAAGGATGTGTGTTGCAAGATCAAGCCTACCCAATTATCCTCCAGTAAGCGACTGGGACAGCATTTCTAACTGATTGGATTATAACCGTATTAACACCATGCGCTTCGATACCCCTTCGGTTATATTCTTAGCGTTTCTGGATAAATTATCTAGACTACCCAAGATTTAAAAGACACAATCCGGAAAGAATTTGACTTCATCATGTTGTTTTATCAATATACATACGGGGGCCTTTGGTATTGGAAATCGATCCTCGGAGTCGGGAAATACTCTTTAAACGAAAAACTTGCTAAAAAATAACCAGACACTACAAAAGAATTTTAGCGCCGAGGTACCAGCATGTGTCGCGAATACCCACTGAAGTTGTATGAAATTTAAACAATCTTCCGATGTAGACCGAAAACGCATTTCACGTGTAACGGAAGGCTGTAATAAGTCGCGAATATTACGCATTAGATAACATCACCAGGACAAATCACTTTAAAATATACATAACAATGATTTATTTTTTAACAATAAGACTAAAATGCTTTTCTTGTAAATCCTTTAAAATCAATTTCACTTAGGCAAGAAATTGAATAAAAATTCAGAATTCGTTGTTACGAAACCAACCCGTATACTTGGTTTGATTTCTCGTTGAAAAAATCTATTTGCCGTATTGCGTCTGCTATTGATACAATTTTCGACAACTGGTTTGATGGAAACACTAATCAGACTGGGTCTGATTATTTTTCTCGACCTTTCAAATTACTGCTTCCAAACTACTCGAAGTTATGCAGATATAACATTTAACAGATTTTCCTGGCGTTCACAGCACAATGTGACTACTAATAATCTTTGTTATTGGTACCTGCGAACGTGCGTGAGTTTCATTCGAACGGACATGTGTCGTAAAATTTTATATCACATTTATATATGTCTTATTGTCTACAAAAAAAAAAGAAAAACAATTTTCAAAATGTTGCGATCGAATGTATATTATTAATTTTTTTTTATTATTCTGAAGGGAGGTTGATTCATTTATTTTGTTTTTATCAATAATTTTACCGTTTTTTGTACTGATTAGGATTTCAAAATAAACTTATATATATTATATTACTTATATTCATCGATCGACAATATTTCATTTAGGAGGATATGGAAATTTTTGACCTAGGCTGTTCCAACTCGGGTTTTCTGCTACTAAAACAAATTGTTGGCTATTTCTAGCCATCCTCCTAGAAACTATTATCTAATTCCCAATTTTAGAACGATATGTTTAACATATATAAGAAAAATTAAATAAGATAGGTTCGTCCGACCTGTCCATTTCTCTTTATTAATCCAGTTCCCATTTTTACCTATATGAATTTTCCCTAGCATTTTTCATCAGTTTAAACATAAAACATATAAATACTAATTTTGGTAATTCAAGAATTAACTCGTATACGGTATAATGCATTCCAAACATCAACCCACTAGTTACATTTCTTGCAAGGTAAATTAAAAGTATATTAGTTATTTCTCTGACAACTATTTAAATACAACGGTCTAATTATTTAAACGGCTATTTCGTGGTAATAAAGACAGACCCACGACGCCATCTCTATCTCGTCAGCAATAATATACCAATAAAGGAAAACAAATCGAAAGTATAAAATACTGCTATTTTGACATTTTTATTTGTCTCCAGCGAGAAAATAATTTAGATTATCGACATTGCTGTTTCATTTATAACGGCTTGCGACTCTGCCAAAAGGTTATAACGTCAAAAGAAACCTATGTTCAATAATATGAATGATATAAATCCATCGACACATCGGGCGAAAGCTGTAGCGGCTACCAATGGTTGAACTAAACTTTTCCTATTACCCTTCATTAGCGATTTACTGAGGTGCTTCGATACAATAGACATATAATGTGTAATGCACTAGTGTAATATGAAGCTGAAGGTGAAAAGACGTACACAGCTGTTACGTCTTTGCGACTGGTTATTCTACCGCACATGATCCTGATGCTTTTTGAATAACTCTGTTATGTTAGCACAAATTTTCTTTAAACTAGGAAGAAATTTACTCATTTCACCTCATTATTGAACTGAATTTGATTCATTTTACTCTACATTTAATCTAATTATTCAAAAATCTTTCTCGTATATATTTTTTATATGACTTCGCTTTGAAAATTGAAAATTCTTCTCTGTACAGATTTTACCATTTGGCATTACAATGATCTGAATATTTATTGCATTCCGCCAGCAAAAAAAGTTCACGTCATAACAAATTTCAACAAAGAAAATCGCTGTCGTTAAGAAGGGTTAAAATAAAAAGGACAATCGGAGTGACAGGATTAGATTTATGACACATTAAAGCACGGTGATGATCGATATATGCCAATTACTTTTCATCAATATTAAAATTATGATCTTCATTAAAGTAGTATTGAAGAAATAACCAAATTCAAAAATCCACACAATTCTCAAATGCTCTACTATCCATGCGTAAACGATCATGAAAATATCTACACAAAATTATACAAATTGAAGCAAATAGGTTCGATGCGGTTCTTGTAAGTCACTCCAAACAATGCTCAAAGCAGTATATGGTCATTCGGTATAAATATTGGAAAATTGAAAGAAAGTCAGAAACGCTTATGGAAATAACTGGGGGTTTTAAGGCAATATATTCTCATTTATCTATATGGTCTAATCCAATTTAAAAATTATGTTTAGTGAAGGCATAGAAACCTGTTTTTATCGATTTCATTTATTACAGAAATCAGTGAAAAATCGAAGAATGGTTTTAAACCTAACTCGCGAGACAGGCAACAATTATGAAACAATTCGAGTTTTGACAAACGAGAGATTTTGTGATAAATACTTCATTCATTCCGAACTTTCTTTATTTGGCTGCTCATTTAATTAAATAGTGATCAAATAATCAGAAAGACGACATATTCGGATACTTGTGTACATCAGGAATCCTATCACGATTTTTCCAACAAATTTCCTTGATTTACTGACATTGTTATCAGTTTTCTTTTTCCTTACCATAATTACATTTTCCTTATAAAAGCGGATATGTGAATTTAGCAATATTATTATTTTTTTATTATAAAACCATTCTTTTTCATATCGGCGTTTAATAACATCTTTGAAGAAGGAGATGGGAAACCTTGGGTAAAAAATTACCTTTATCTGATAATAAGTGAATATCGAAGGAATTTCTGTCGAAAGTTCATAATGGTAATAAAAAGGATTAGTAAGGCAACTGCAGCAGGTACGAATTGGAACTAAGGATATTTGGGGCGATTAAAGAAGCTGAAGACAACATGCTCTTCAGATTGTTTTTTAAATAATATCCATGAATTAGGGGAATTTGTTTAATTAAATCTGTTACTGCTACCATACGATGAAGTGCTCGCAATCAATATGCTTGTGCAAAACGTAAATAAACACACGATTTCTCAAACTATCGGATTTTCACCACTTTCGTTTGAGATATGAAACACGAACACGACATTGTGATTTTGTTGTCAAATTATGACGTCACTCGAATTTACCTCTGATTATGGTTCCTGTGGTGGCAGGTGGTAAATGAACCCGCCACTCCCGAGTCCAAGCCCGCCATTGCAAACTCCATGAGTATTTCATCCGTCAAATATATTCCGAAATTTATGTTAACTACTCTTATTTTCTGTCTTTGTACGATCAATACTTTACCGTTGTCGTATTGTATCTCAAGCATACATTATTGCCTAAGTTATATTAAACCATAACCTTATATTAGTGCTACATGTAAATCTGAAAATAAAAAATTGTAGTAGGTTAGAACAATGAACACGTTAGTGTTTGTTAGGCATTTATAAAATTATTCCAGTGAGTTGTTGACTCAATTGTGAAGATGATGTAAAGGACTCAAGGACGACAAACCTACATACATGTTACCAATACAAAATACTATTTCTAGAAATCAAATTACTGGGTGAACTATTTAGCTACGAGGGGGATAAAAACGTGTGGTTGTATTATTCTTAACATTAGGGTGAAATTGTACCCCCATCTGCAAGCCGTCTGTGTCACATGGTGTATCAGTTTATCGTCTTCGATTTCTCCAACATTTCATTTAGTGATGTAGTGGTTTTAAACGACTGCGAGTTCCACAAACCTATGAATGAAATTTGGCATGTTTTTGTTAAAACGCTCTTGTCATTTAATTTCAAAACACTAAAATTTGTATGCAAGCAAAAATGTCGTTTTAATTAAATACAATTTAATAATCTAATTGTAGAGAAAAATTTATAGTGATCGTATACTTCTATATTAAGGTAGCTACTGTTCGAAGCAATCGTGAATAAAAATGCTAAAATTAAGAAGACTAAGATTTCATTTCTATACTTCATATGTAAGCTGCCTTTCAAACAAACTAATACTACTTAAACACAGCCGGATCAATTGAAACAGGAAACTTACTACTCTTATCCTATAATTCGCCTTATCAAATCCTAAATCAAGCTAACCCCTCGAGGACTATCGTGTAATTAAGGAACAAGACAGAACAGATGTGTAATATCAAAAGAAGTTTTCCATTTCTGGTAAGACTCGACGGTTCTTGGATACATTCATTCTATCCTATCATAGAAAAAGTTATATTTATTCGCTAAAACTTGGGGGAAATCTAACAGAAATAGTTACCAAGCAACACAAATTCGGCATTGGGTTCGCTGAAACAATAAATTAAGATTATGATCTCTTCTATCTGATGCTTACAGTACATTTTGGTTTATATTTCCTCCCACTACTCTACAATATTGTAGCATATATAAAACTCGAGAGAGATTAATGCGTCCCACAGGCATTGAAACGGTAAGGGATCAATAGCCAATCTTGCGAGGAATATCCATTAGACTTGTGGTTGTATTCTCTCGCACAAGTTAAGCAGGACGTTTTGCTCTTGCCTCATAAATAGTAATAAGACGATTCAAATTGGAACCGTCAACGGCCGACTTGACATCTTTTAACATCATTATGTTGAGGTGTAAATGAGCTCTTAATCTAGCATTGTGCGTGTTTGGTGTTTGTTCTTGATCGTATCGTGGATAAGTGTTTCTGCTGGAAATGACGAAGATTGCGTTATTCATACCATTATAGACATCGCACTTTTTTGTTGGTACTTTTCTCTAAATATTGCTACGACTGTTTGTACATCGACACGTGATGTGAAGCTTTAAGAATGTATTATCTATTATATTTACTGAACTATGACAACAATGAAATCGGCAGCAGTTGGTGGTGGCCCTTCAACTTAATTGAATGGTCTTCCATGGCAAGGTTATTGTGACATTGTAAACCTCGGAGTATTTTACACAAATTAGCATTGATTTAAAATAAATGCTGTTGCTTTTTTTTACAAACAAATTGTCTTTATAATTTATAACATCCAAATACAATTTAATCTTAGTCAATATTTCATTTATATCACCTCTCCTAAGCATATGCTTTGTACAGATAGCGTGAATTGTGCGAGATACCATAAATAAGATCAGTACATCTAGAGAAAATACATTACGCTTCTACATTAAATTAACGTCTAATTGAAAAATGAAGATTATCTGAACAGAAGGTTTTGTTTGCTTGGGATAGTGTTTTTATGTAGCTTCAACTCCGGAAGCCATTTTATTCACCAAATCATAAATAAATCCATGTTTGAAATCATCAATTCTTCGACATGTTAGCGTTATATCTGCCGACTGACTTTTCAAAACGAGTCATTCAAGTGGTAAATTCGCAAAAAGGCTTGTTCTCGTTTTTTTTTTAATATCACATATACTTTGCAATATATTACATTCAGCTATACAAATTACACGTGGTAATGACCTCCCCGACTAACATCGTATCACGGCGATCTACCAAAATAAAATCAAGGTGGTGATTTTATCTAATCGCTTTATCGTGAAGCAAATACCGAAGTCGCAATTCAATAACCGAAGAAACTACGTCAATAATCTATAACTCATAACGTAAAATATTGATAATTGAAGAATTATATGGCGTACGTTGAACCATAAATAATACCGCACATTAACTAATATACATTAAAATTACACACCGTATAGCGTAAATGAGCCATCAGCGCATTATATATTTAGTAACGGGAATTACCAGTATGATCATGTTTTGGAATGTATTAAATATGGAAATTTCAGTTTATACTTGCTTTCATATTTCGACTATTTACTCCATTAATGAAATACCCGAAATTCTCAAACGCAACTACGAATGTTTAGAATTCATGTACCAGTGTCCAATGCCCACGAAAGGGTAATAAATTAAAATAAAGGTACGGAGAATTTATATCATATCGTATTCAGTCTTAGAAAACTTAAAATTTACCTGCGTCGCGCGTTCACCGTGTAAGATTTCAATGCAATCTGACACAGTTATGTTTGGAGCAATACTTGACTCAATTATGAAGGTTTTCTGAAAGGCATTTCGTCCACCATCATCGAAGAAATCATTTCAACAATTTTCAATCACAACTTATAATCTCACGAATTAATGAGATTCGATATGCGGATTGTCACTTTGGGACCATACGTCAATACCAAATTCGTAATGGGGTGTCCAAAAATAAAAATAACAAAACTGCAATCTTTGTGCGTTTAGAATATGTAAAATCGATTTTTTTCAACGTTAAGTAAGATAAATAACGGAAATGATAATATCCGACACCACAACCCATTTGAACGTCACATTCAGGTGCCGGCGGAAGAAAATCCGAACTATATTTAGAAAACGACGACACACTGATCGTATCTGTTTTATCACAGCATGTTGCCAGATATTATTTTATTAGCAACATTCAGAGTTTTTCCTTTATCGTTGCAATTATTAATCAAATAATATAATTTGTAGCATCTAACCTCACTCTCCTCCCATTCAAAAAACATCAATCAACCTAAACTAGGAATAATTTCCGATGCCAGGTTGAAACACGTGGATATAAAATTCTCTTCAATATAAAATCGTTAGTGTCTTATTCCAATACGTTACCGAGCGGAAAATAGAATTATATACCTGATAAATAAATATTAGATTTTATAGTTATTAAAAATGAAATTAGATTCACTCGAATGACTGAGGCATTTAGAGAAGTTTATTGGTTTTTACTGCGTGATGTTATTATATATATATATATATATTCATTATATTATTAATGATATTAAAATTGAACAACACACAATGGTTTCAGATGTTTAAATCAATGCGGTATTCCAGTTTACCTAATAAACCTCTTGATAGTTATTATTTTATTCTCATAAACAAGAAGAAAGCACTCGCAGTTCAGTGCACACTACCCTAATACCCCCATTATTTTCTTAACTTTTACAAGAACTGCGACTGAATACCAAAAGCGTCTATTTACAGGTTCAGTCTTGACTGCATCTACCGTGTCGATGAACCGTGCATATTCAACAGAAGTGTTAATGAGAGAACTTTGGATGACAGTTGCCAGAAACAATTTGAAACATTGGTCAATATCAGTATCTTTTAACCGTGAGGAACAGAAGACAAAAAGCTTATCAAAATACCACAAAATAAGTGAGTGCAATAGTTTACAATAATTGAGTATGGAACGCAATTCAACAAAATCTGACCTTCTATGCTTTAATATGCAATATAGACAAATTCCACAATACTTTAATTAAAAGATATTGCTCACCCACAAAGCCATCCGCGACAGGTTCAATAGCTTCGAGTTTCTGACGAATACCGCGTCACCGGCGCGGATACCGTCCGTCTTGTGTGCCTATTTACGTTATGAGATAAGCCGTGATCAATACGACGCCTAATATCGTAACGTCTCAGAATTTGTCCACAGCAATAAACTATGAAAACATCTACAAGTTGGTACAGACAATAATAAATACTAAGTAATATCATTACCACTGATAAAATTGATATCATTTACTCATATGTGGAGAATATTTGAGGAAAGACAAGATTATGGGTTGACAACTTTAACCATCGTAGTGTGTTTCCACCGCAATTGCGATTGATTTCAATTATCGGATGAATATTTTAAAACCAGCTGAAAAAGCAGCACGGTTGTCGCCATGTCCTAAACGTGTATTATTCATGAATGCGTGGCCTAAAAGCAAGTTTTACGGGAGTTTCAAAGACTGTATGGTATGGCTGCGTCCGGTATTTGGAATGCTCAGCGTGAATAACTTAAATGCATGCTTCTTCGTTTAGCAAATTCCATATTGAAATATTAATTTTAGGCTTTTAATTTGAATTTCACGATGTTTTGTCATAACAAAGACTACATGCCTCGCAATACGCTTTGCGAGGACCTAATCTTTCGCATATGAATAATCTGTTGTGGAACTTCCATGACTGGTTACAGTCATACTGAAAACGAAGGTTATCAAGATTTGGAGTGGAAAGAAAACACGTGAATTCAGCATATACTCAAAATACATTCGCACTTCGCTTCTTTGGCCCAATATGACCAAGTTTGTAAATGATGCATGAAACGAATTGTGGATTTTTTTGTTTGACACATTTCTTTAACTTTTAACTTCTCTAATTGGTCAAAATCAATTTCTTTTTGCGTCATCACCCCTTTTTACGAACTGAAAGTACTGAAAAAGTTATTCTATAAGTATTGTATGAATTCGAAATTTTGGTACCAGTTTTTTGGCTTCCCTGAGAATGGAAAATAAATGACTAACTATCATGAATGGCAAAAATATAAATTCACAGATATATACAAGGCACCCCGATGTAGGTGTGATAG